GTGAACGCTGTTTATCCAGTTATCTTCAGTAACACAGTTTGTTTAAAATTGTATTCTATATGTTTTCAGTGCCCATGAAAAATTATGTAGTTGAACATATATTTCAAATGAGATGCAAAACAGAATTCCTGAATATTTATAGTCATGAAACTTCCTCTTGTACTTTTTATAAGAATAATCTTGGCTTATTGGTTAATCTTATTCACTACATACACCCTCCTCCCCGCCTCTGTACCAGAGGCATTGGGGGGGTGGGGAACGGGAGCTGCTGCCATAAGAAGCTGACTTAACGCAGGCTCCCCAGGAGCACTGGATCTGCCTGCCATCCACTGCGTTGCTGCCTCTGATAGAGAAGCAGCAGTGCAGAGGGAGGCACTCTGGAGCTGATATGCACAGGGAGCCAGCTTTTGACTCTCTGCATGTGCTGATTTCGCTGACCTGCCTGCCCCCCACTTGCTGCCTCCTACAAAGATTGTGGGGGGGGGGGGCAGTCAGGAGCTGATGCTGGGGAGCTGGCTTAAAAGCTGGTTTCCCCCCAGTACCAGCTCTGTGGTGCTACCTTCGCCCCCCGCACTGCTGCCTCTATTAGAGGCAGCAGCGGGAGGGGGCAGGGGGCAGCTGCTGCAAAGCAGCTTCTGTCCACAAGGAGTCCAAGCTCTACGTGAACAGTGTCGGCTCTGCCTCCCACCGAGCCTCCCTTACCCTCTTCGCAGCAGTATCCCCTGCCTCTCACCCTCCCCCCGCCACCAACAGCAGCCTCTCTCCACGGGGAGCTCTGTATTAGAGGCAGCAGTGCGGGGCAGCAGGCAGCCGGTCTGCAGAGAGCTGGTTTTTAAACGGGCTCACTTCACAAACCAACTCCCGCCTGCCACCCCTGATCAGAGGCAGCAGTGCGGAGTGGCAGGGGGCTCCCTGGGAATGGGGCTGGGAGCACAGTGGCTGCAGGCTCTGCTCCCGGGGACTATCGAATAGTTGTGTAACCTAAAATTTCATGTGGTTATACAATATCTGACATCCCTAGTCCTGTCCCAAATCCAACGTTGACAGTTACATTTTGCGCTGTTGCTTTTGAGTTGAATGTTGGATAAGACTGTGTTAATTACATCCTGCCTAAAGATTTGTTTACATCAGAACCACCCACAGTTGAAGTAATCTTTTAAGTGAGCCTTGTATGGACTTTTACCTATAGTGTTAAGGTACTTGTCTTTCTGGATGAAATATACACTATTTATCAAAACAATTATTTCTGTTTGTTTTGATGTCTCCACTAACTCCCAGCTAGAATCCCTATCACTAGTGACACTTTCTCAAACAACAATCTTTATCTCTCTGGTTATTATTTGGTGTGCTTCAACATTATTCCATTGCTTTCTTTTTTCTGATCTAAGGATATGTCTACCTTATAGATCCTAGGGTGTGTCTAGACTACATGCCTCCTTCGACGGAGGCATGTAGATTAGCCAGATCGGCAGAGGGAAATGAAGCCGCGATTAAAATAATCACGGC